CTAGAGATGCGATCCGTATCTGTTGTTTTATATATAAACACCCAGTTCGAACCGGTTTATATATATAAAAAACAGATACGGATCACATCTTTACCTAAACCTACCAGAACAATCAATATATGTCTAACATATTATGCATTACCTGGATTTAGCCTGTGTTACCTAATTACTTCCGTGACTATCCTATATATTCCCCACATTATCCATCATATCCTATATAACTCCCAAGTTGGTATTACTTATTAGGTGATCGCATTCCTACTTTTAGTGGTGCTACCAGTTTGGTGTGCCTATTATTGCTTCTAGTACGACTACACAAGTACGGCTACACAAATACCTTATCTATGCACCCCAATCCCTAAGGACTGAGTTGAATACCCCAGATCTCAACGTTATTTTCGGACATGATGCTGCTGTAGACCCTTTAGTGTACTTCCTGTTATGGTGTATTAGTCAGGGTCTTTTTTTCGTAATAGACTTCCAGCCATTGGCGTTCGTTATACTTTCCTAGTAGGTTACTTCCATAGCACTTTATGGTGTGCCCATGAGTGTCTCGAATAACTTATTTCAAGTAACCCAAAATAGATAATGTATAACGATAATATATATACACATTATTAAGTACTAAAGTTTTTAATTCATATTCGTTAATTATATATTGGTAATTATGAATAATTGATATGACAAATTTTTTTTTGTAGGCTAAGATTTCTTATAGATTATTTTTCTTGCTGTAATTTTATCAAACGAATGAGATTTATCGAAATGGAATAGTATGTAATAAGATCACATGCTTTCGGCCTGATTTATTATTGGTAATACAGAACAAAAATCTAGTATCTTTATTTAATTTCTTATTTAGCTTCTATTGAAATATTTACGATCATTGATTGGTCATGATAAATTATTACCCTCTTAATTTTCTCTTATTTGTGTTGATTCTGAAAGTACAACAATCATTATCAATCGGAGTTTAAGGATGTTATTCGCTTTCTCATTTGCGCTGATTTAGTTTATAAATCCAATAGCACTAATCAATCGATGCATTTAACTCTCATTTATTTGATTTGTCTTATATTGAATATAACGATTATTCATCAATCGGAGTATTCAAAATAAGCAATTAACCCCTTTATTTTTGATTCATGTATATGATTTATTCAATATCTTGTTTACATTGATTTAATCTCTAGACATCATTTTTTTTATCCAAATTTTAAGAAATCATTTGTCACTGCTATTAAATGTAGCGGGTAATCATTTCCCAAAAGACAAGACGACCCGATTTAAAGTTAGGACTGACTTGGTTTAGAGTTGGCGTTAGTAAAAATTAAGTGTTGAGAGAACGACAGTCAGGAAAATTATATGAACCCCTCCGTGTTAATACTATTCAGAAAATACTTAATAAACAGATTCCCGATCAAGATTTTAAAAATCGTGAATTTTTTATAGAACCTGTGGCTCTGTCACGGGTTAGAAGCTAGTGCTAATCAAAAAAGAAGTATTTCACAAATTGGTGTAGGTGACTAGATCCGTATAGCATAGGCTAAATTTTAAACCCATACCAGACTT